AAAAAAAACCTCTATAATTAAACAAAACTTGTAGGATGTACCCAAAGCAGTACTTAGAGGGAAATTTATAGGTTTGAAATGATGAAATTAAAAAGAAAGAAGCTGCAAATTAACAAGTTAAGCACCCACATAATTAAGTTACGAAAAGAAATGCTTATTAAAGCAGCAATGTTTTGTGAATAAAATTTACAAAACATTTGGAAAATAAATACAGTAAAGTTCTTATTTTGTGTGTTCACCTGGATTTAGCTATGGCTACCATTGATTCAGTAGGTACTATGTATCAGACATGTTACTAAGTGATATAAAACCTCTATATTATTTAGGAATGTAAACCAGAGGGGGAATAAGTAAATAAGAAAAGAAATAAAAAAGCTACACTACACTTTTGTATTATTAAATTCATAATATGATGACTCTGTACAGAGTCTGTATACAGTAGCTGGAAAAATATTTATGGTCACAACTTATTTTAACAGACCTAGAGATTTTAAAGAACTGGCTTTGCACTTTTGTATAGGTTATCAAAGTCCCTTAGTGACATACAACACGTTAAGCAAAAGTGGTATTATTGGGGAATATAGAAATACTAAAAAGCCTCTGTTTGCAAGAGACTGTGCCAGATGTTACATGTTGGGCGGCAGGGCAGGGAAAGAGCACAAGGGATTTTGATGAGCCATATGAGTATCACAGACTTAAAAATATAGCCCACCTCTCAATAAATCCTAAAACCCAAAACAATCACTATAAAATAACTATTGACTACTACTTGAGAATTAATCCTGTTCAAAGATTTTTGTTTTTATTGTTAATGTGGGGGAAAAAGTACTCTATTCTACTGCTAATGGCAGAATAAACTGGTCAAATCAAGATACAGGAAGTCATTTTAACAATGTGTATTAAAGACTTCAAATGTTATGCATCATTCAGTCCAGCACTTTTGCATTTAGAATTTCATCCCAAGGAAATAATTATGACAGTGTGCAAATATTTAGCTGTCACAGTACTGATTATGATAGTGAAAACATAGGGACAATTTAAAAGTCCAAAAAGAGGGCATTAGTTAAATAAATTATGGTACTACCACCATTACAATGATGTCATTGAAGACTATTTAACGGCATGGAGAAGTGTTCATAATATTAAGTGAAACAAGCAAGTTACAGAGCAGTATAATCCAATTTTTGTGAATATAGAAAGAAGACTGGAAGGACATACACCAATGTGTTATTATTCTTGGTTTCTCTAGGTGGTGAAATTACAGGGGAATCTTCTTTTTCTTTTCTGATCAATATTATATAAATGATCTGTATTATTCATGTGATTACAAAAGAAACAATAAAAGGTATATTTTTTAAAAAGTATTAACTCTATTTCCAGTATTTTCTTATGATGAACATTGTCTGGCTTCTTTTAGTCTACTTCCTTTGCCCCTTGGAGCTGGTATGGCATTGAACCAAGGCAATTCCTTTGAATTCTAAGGTCTACTATACAGTCTGAGGTGTCCCCTAGGTTTGACTATTCAATAACTATTGGGAGATGATGCCAAAGAAAGCATTGTTTATATTTCCAGCTAGAAATATCGTTCTGAGTTTGTAAAAAGATGCAGGTATTCTAACTCATAGTTTAATGCATTTATCAGGGTTATTAGCAATGCTTCAAATTATAGACCACAGATGTTATTTGTATAACTAACCATCAATTAGCTATGCTAATGAGAAAGGCAGGAAATGATTCCAAGAGAATATGAAGAAGAACAACGCATTGCAGTGCTTAGTTTCAGCCATCAGTTGTTAAAACTTACCAGACTGACATATATAAATTCTAATCTCTTTTTGGAAGAGATAGGGTATTAATAAAAAATAATATTAATTCCTTAGCAGTCTTTTCCTTTTCCAGATTGTCCTTCAGAGAAGCCACACGCAAATAACAAAATGACCAAAATAAGCAACAGGAAACTTAGAGACAAAAGGCTAGTTAGTGGTTCTAATATAATCCCTAGGAGAATTTTTAAAAAGTATCAATGCAGAGTCCTCACTCCAGACCATTTAAATCAGAATCTCTGTGCAAGGGGCAAAAATAATTCATAAATTGCATAATTCATCTCAAGTTGATTCTAGCTGCTTTGTCTTTGCTTTGCTCTGAGTTCTCTGGTTGGACGGTGAAGGTCTCAGGTAACTCACCTTTGGTTCTTCTACCCTCACTCCCATCACTCCATTCCCAGGTAGGAGAACATCTCCAGTGAGACAGTGTTAAAGGTGACTCTTGACTCCTGCTGATCCAGTATCTTTAAATACCTTCCTAATGGCTCTCTTGTTTCTCAAAGGTTTGGATGATTTTCCCAAAAGGAAATCTATGTATGAGAGAATTCTAGGTACCTGAACATTATCTACCTAGTTCCATGATAGATATTTGGATACAAGGAAAATGAAAATAAGTCATCGAATGGAAATTACAACTCCCCAGAGAGCTCCACATGCCAGGATCCCAGAAATTGCTCCAAGTTCTGTTTGTTCTGCAGTTCCAAGAAGAACAGCAGTCCTTGTAGCTGTACTTCTTTCCTCTTTTCCCTAGATTTCACTTTTACAACTTTTAAAAATTATAATTGTTTGCATTATATGCTTACTGTCGAAAGTTTTAAAGTAAGAGAATTACAAATAGCAAAATTAAAATCATCCATGAGTCTCCCTCCTCCGCATTCTAGAGATAAACATCATTTAAACTATTAGTGTATATCCTTCCATTTTTTTCTATGTGTAGAAACATGATTTTATTTTACAGAACTGAGTCATACTATATGAACACTTCTGTAACTTGCTTTTCAATCTCAATCTTATGTTGTGAACTTTTTTTGGGTCACTTGGCTTCAAAATCAAGATTTCTGTGTATACAGCAAAGCCCATCACAGAGATTTACCGTAATTTATTTAACCATCTCCATACAGTAGACCTTGATGATCACTTCTGACATTTGCCTTGTTTTTCCTTTTTCCACTATTTATCAGAAATATCAGATCGGTCAACCACCTGGTGAGTTCATACAGAATACTCTTCCTGACCAATGTTTCACACTGTAACCAATAATTTCCCAGGGCTACATATGGTAGCTATGGATACTGAGCTCCTTATCCTCTCCTCCTGCTATGTTCTCGAAGTTTTGTATCCAAAACTTCCCCCAGGAGTGATGATATTGTCTTTCCTCTTTTCACCTAAGCCACACTCCTCAAAAATCCTGAAGTTTATTTCACCTTCTTCCAAATGTATATGTATAGAAGATTTATCATTTTAGTAGCTAACCTATATTGGGAGTGTTTGCTGTGCTAAGAGGTTTATATGTATTTTTTAATTTAACTTTTATGACAACAATTCAGATGCAAATGCTACTATTATCCCCTTTTCACAGGCACAGAAAATGAGGCTTCTTTTGAGTAACTTGTCCAATATCACAGCTAGTAAGAGGAAAAGGTGGGCCCTAAGCCCAGAGATGTTTGTTTTAAAATTATTTCTTTTTCATTATTATTAACTAAAGTTCACATTTACTCAAATTTTCTTAGTTTTTGCCTAATGTCCTGTTTCTGTTCCAAAATCCCATCCAGGATACAATATTATATTTAATCATCATAGTTTCTTAGACTCCTCTTGGCTGTGACAGTTTCTCAGACTTCCTATGTTTTCTCTAAACAATTTTATTTTTACAATACAGTACCTCTTATCTTCTACAAGGCCATAGCTGCTATAATTTTTTTGTGCACTGCTATGAGTGGCTCTTATTCTCACAGCAACCCTCCAAAGCAGATATTATATTCCTCATTTTATAGATGAAAAAACCTAGACTCAGAGAGATGACAGCTAACGGCCCCCAGGTCACAAAGCTAGTAAGTAATGGAACTGGGATCCAAACCCAGGACTGTCTATCATGAATGTTATGTTCTTTTTACTGCTCTAGTTTAGATGGCTTATGTATATGTTCCTTTTAAAAATAAATTTGAATGCTAATATCAGAGTCAGAGTGCCATAAAGATGATGTTGAACTGTATCTGGTCCAGCTCTCCTAATACCCAAGCTCCTTCTGTAGATTCTTTGGCAAAAGGTTCTAAGCACATGGTCAGAAGCCATCAGTCTCAATCAGTTCCAGTATTTCACAAAGCATCCAGTCAAGTTTTGAACAGTTCTGATCATTAGAAAGAACTCTGCATTCCTCCAAATGATTTTAGTCTTTTGGTCTTAGTGTAGCTCTTAGGAGGCAAACACTATCATCTAAGCCTTCCCACCTAAGAATTCTGCAGTTGGCTATCATGTCTCCCCCTAGACTCTCTTTTCCTGACAGACCATGGCATAGTTTGGACTTCCCTCAACATCCTAATACCCTGCTTTAAACCACAGTTCCTTGCAGAACCTCTATTTAGTTGCAAGTCTTTTTAGTGCATTATAGCACAGCAATGTGTGTGCCCTAAAAATTAGGGCTCAATAATTGCTATTGACCATCTCCTTGCTTAATGGTAATCTCTTACTATTACCACTATCACCCTTCTCCACCTAACCCTAATCCTCCCCACACACTACATTTCTAAATCATCAAGTCCAAAGGGCCCTAACACCGACACCTTTTCCAACCCTTTGATTGAGGGAACTCGCTGTAGAAAACCCCTTGCGACACAAGTCTGGAAGGTGAGTCAAACGTAAGGGGGATGTTTTCTGAGTTTGACAAACAAGTTAAAGGTTAAAGGCATGAGCCATGGACACCAGGAGACAGCTCCTTTCTGCCCGAATTCCCCACAGCGCTGAGGCAGGCAAGAGCTCCCCTGTGGATCTACCGAAGACAGCGCGCAGGGCGGGGCAGGGACCTACGCGCCAGGAACGGGGCGGGCTCCAAGCAGCTGGTGTCGCTGAGAGCCCGCTGTCCGGGCTTGGGGACTGCTCGGCGACGCCAAGGCGCCACCAGCCGTCTCGCCAGCTGCCCTCGCGCCCGTCCCACAGACAGGTGTTCAAAGCAAATCAGAGAGCGAAAGAAGCAGACGAGGGAGTCAGAAGATATCGCAAAGGAGTCGTCACCAAAGTTCTCTAGGTATTCCTTCCCTGCCGGTGCCTAAGCTTTGTAGTCAATACCATGGACAGCGCCCGCGAAAAGACGCAGGGGCGCTTGGACGCCGCTGGCTTCTGGGAGGTCTGGCAGCGATTTGACGTGGAGGGTGAGTAGAACCAGCCACCTGCACATTCAGGTGTAGACGTGGCTCCACGCCCGGTCTTGCTGAAAGGACCTGAATTTTCCCCTTCCTGTACGTCTTTCGTTGCAGGGAAAGTCGTCTTCCAGCGTTGTTAACGCAGTATACCTAACGCAGCACACCTGGCAGACGTTTGGTATACTGGAGTTACACACCTAGATAACTTTTGAAAGTTCAGGGTGAGAGGAGGGACTTGCCCCCCTTCCCTATGTGTGTGTGTGCGTGTAATGATATACCACATATATAATGACAAATATCATTATATATATTTGAGACTTGTGGGCTGACTTCAGATACCTGAATGTCAGCCCTCCCTAAATGTGCTCATTTTCACTCAGTGACTTTATTGTGTAACTCCTACTCTCTCAAAGGGAGGATGAATTTGATAGGCTTTCAAAAAAACACTACCCTCACGCCCCCCCAAAAAAACTATTTGAAAAGAAAATGGAACTACCTAACTTTTGCTTTGTCTTTATTAACAAACTACCGTAAAGAAAATATCTAAAGTATGTGTCTTGATCCTGCAAACTAAGATTCAATACTTACATCCATTAAATTTTTCCAAGCTTCCAAACTCCTTGGGTTGGATTTTATTCTAAAACTTGTGTTTATTTGTGGATTAAAATTCATGTATTTAATAGCTTTCCTTTTCCAATATTCATATAAACCCAGCACAAAGCATTTACTCTTGAATATGTGTTTACTATTCAAATCCATGTTTTCTGGAGGCAGATGTTCACACTTAGTTATTGGAATAGCAAAGAATAGTATCCAAGGGGATTTTATAAATTACGAGATTAAAAACAAATTTAGATAAATACTAAATGTCACGTTATTCTATATATATGTGACTATTATTTATGCATATCTTCTTGTATTTAGAAAAAGGTTACATAGAAGAGAAGGAGCTTGATGTTTTCTTTCACCACATGTTGACGAAATTGGGTACCGATGTAAGTACTTGTGCCACTAAGCATTAATTTGTGTGTCTCAGTGAAATACAAGCAGCGTTCAAGTCTTATGTTGATTTGTACCTATTAATCCCATCTGACCGCTTTTCTTCCTTGCATGCATGTAGGTTTTCTCCCTCTCCTAGCAACATGAAGGGATTTAGGCAGGTTTTATAAGAGGTACAACTGTAGCATTAGACGTGCTGGTCACTTACTTTCAGTATAACATCTGTCATCCACTCAGAGATCCTAACTGTAGATTGAAACAACTCAGTTTTGAACGTCTCCTTGGTTATGTCTCTGCTAATGGGTTTAAACCTGAAGATAAGGCAGTTCACTTTGTTCAAAAAGGTGGAAAAGATGTTAAAGGCTTTAAGGTTCTGGGCATTTAGTGCATTTGATACCCCTTTGAGAGCAAATCACAAACAAACCATTTAAAATCATTTTTTCCATTATTCGCTTTATTAAAGGAGGTTACAGATTTCTTAGGGAATGACGAACCAGAAAATACCCAACATACCCAGAGCCCAGGTATAAATGTAAACCAATCTATCCAGCGTCCATGTCCCTCCCTGAGGGTAAATCCGGCCTTGAGAGATGTAGATTAACTTTTGAAGATCCCTGTACCAACACAGAGGAAAAACACACACAGAGACAGCAGCCTGGGGATGGGAGAATCTGGTAAAGACTCCATCAGGGGCTGAAGGGAAAGGAGAGTAGCTCTGGAAACAGTCGAATTTAGAATGAATTGTGAAGACAGCTTAACCTCAGATACAACTGTTTACATGGAAGAATACTGGAGCACATCACACTTTCATGTAGGAGCCCAGTGAGGAGGACAAGGAGCTCTGCACCACCAAGGAGAGCTCCAGGAGGCTATTTTGACAATGGGGGGTGAGGGGAACAGCCAACTCAGAATAAAAGAGGCTGCCATCTGCCTCCAACAGCCACACAGACCTCTTGGTCTCTGTCTGTCTGCCTCTCACTAGGTATTTTAGTACCTTTGGAGTCTGCTTAAGATCTTGCATTTTAAAGCACCCTAAGTCAGTTTGCCTCTCCTTTCACCCTCTGTCCCTCCAGGAACAATGATTACCTGTTGCAGAGGGGATTATGATATAATCAGGCCAGTCCTGCTGAGCTATGGCAGCAGCCCCAGGTACCTCTCCTCAGCACTTGGCTAAGGAGAGAGCTTTTGGAGCCAAGGCGATAAACTGTTTAAACTGTTACCCAGAAATGGTATCATCTGCCATTGTTCCTTTTCAAAATGCTGAGGCATTACCCTGGGGAGTATGGTTACAGGGACTTTCACTGAGCACTCCATGCTACCTGGACAACCGTGATTAAGGAAACTATTCCTAATTCTGGGCTTTTTTGCTGCTGAGAAACGAGTAGGCCCTAAGCATGTCCTTAACAAGAGTGCAGGACTTCCAAAGTGGAAGCCTTTTAAGCCGAGAGACAGTCACTATTTGTGACAGCTACTTCTAAATCAGCGATGCCCTAGCGAGTACAGAACCAGTAGCAAGGAGCCCTCCGTGACCAGGCAGTGCCTCACTCTGGTGTTTAGGAGTAGCAAGCATTTCTTCAGAGGTCTGAATAGCTCTACTCTCCTCTCCTGATTAGCAGGTCACAGAGACCTCAGAAGAAGGAACTTTAAGGTTTCTAACAGAAAGCTGCCTGCTCATCAATCTTGGAGAGCAACCAGCCTGCTTGTAATTACCTGCTCCTCAGAGCCTCTGTGGGAATTGACTTAATGGAACCATCAGCCGCTCTTTCTGCTGTTTCTGTTACTCACCCACCCCCCTGCCCACCTTTTTCTTTTCAAATGCTCAGAATTGGTTTCTGAACTGGGTCTAGATATAGCCAGCCCATTGCAGAGCATTGCTTTCTGTGGCTGTGTATACATTCTTCATGTACAGATTGTAGCACATCCTGGGGTTCTTTCAATGCTTCAAGATGGTAAGCGCCCTACTGGAGCCTAGAGTCTCAGACAAGGTGGGCAGGATTGGTGCTGATAGAAATTATAACAGAGGGAGCCCTAGGCTCTTTTGCTTTAGGTCCAAGTAATAGTCATGGTCTTTGGGGTTAGAGGTCTGAGAGGACAGAAGTCAAGGTTCTGTGCCTTCAAACTGAAAGTGGCATGTAGAATCTGGCTATGTCTTCTTTGGCTTCACATTTATTTACTTTGAAGTCTAATTTTTCATCAACATGGCCTATGTTAGTTAACTTTTTTGGCAATGCCTAGCTCACCATAAAGAATCAGTTATTCATTCCACAGACACTGTATTTTAGAGATATAGAAATGACTGCTATCCTGGCAGAACCCATGCACCCAAACGCGCCCCCGCGCGTGCACACGCACGCGCGCGCGCACACACATACACTCTATGATGCCCAGACCAGAGAGGCTAGTCTCTTTGTATTTAGTGGAGTGTCATATGAGGAAGTCTAGTTGGCAGGGATAATGTGGTAGTATTAGAGACGATGAATTTAGCATGATTGATCGAGTCTGGAGTCTTCAGCAGAATTCATTCTCCGTTGTTGATCACATACGTCATCTTTCTTTACAATAACCCTGCAGTTCACTGATGAAGAACAATTTAATCTGTAGAAAAGGTTGTACATGGGAAGGAGATGTGACATCTTTGGCAATTCAACAATTATTACTTTCATTTCCTCCTTAATTGTATTCCCCTTCTAATTATTTTTTCCTCAGTGAGTCTAAGGAGAAGATTAAGAGAATGAGCTATGGCAAACTGGGGGCCTAGAAGAACTGGACTTTTCACTTAAAAATAGATCAAAACCTCTAAGTTCTTGGGAAGAAAGTCTGTATGTTCATTATAACATAGTCTTTTGTCACAACAAAGCATATAATGATGTTAGAATTAATTCTTTCAACACTCTAATCTCTAAGCTTCTCTTCATTCATATTATAGGAGCTCACTAGCTATGTCTTACCTAGACAAGATTCTAGTGGTTGTTTGCTCAAGAAATTTCCATCACTGTTCTCTCTTCTACAACACGGTAGGCTCACTTTAAATGGCTAAGTGACCTGCTTTCCAGGTTAGACTAACATAATTATCAGGCTGTATGCTCTGAATATTTGATATCCTAACTACATTTTTGGAATCCCAGTGGCTTTAATGTGGTTCTCTCTGGCCTATTGTAGGATGCAGTCATGGAAGAAAATGTGCAGAAGGTGAAACAGCAATTTATGGCCACCCACGATGTCTCTAAAGATGGTCGCATACAGATGAAAGAGGTACCTTTCAGGACTGTACCTTTCTTGACTGTGCCTTCATGGGCGATAATTTCCTTTGAAAGACAATGAAAATCTTACATTTTCTTGGGAAATTAGAACGCTCTGCAAGGCAGTCGGCCTAGATAACACTTTTGAAGTAATCACTTCTCCTTTTTCATCTGCTTAGTAATAAAGAGTGTATGATTCTTCTATCATTTTATTTAGGTCAATCAATATTTACACTTTAATAATTGGGAAATTGATATGCTGGAGGCCTTTCAGTTACTTGATCTAATATTTGTCTCTTGCACAGTGTCCTGTTCAAATTCAACTTTGATATAAGGAAAAACTTACTGACAATAAATGAGTTTAAACTTCAGCATCAGCTCGCAGTGGAGTTTGGAAAGATCTATCCCTGATGATCATTAAAAACAAAACAGACAGCAGCTGTCTTTCCTTCAACTAAACCACATATATTGAGTACCTACTAAAGAGAGGAACTGTGTTAAGCAGGCAGTGGCCTCGATAGCCTATCTTTAACCTGACCATTCTTCCTTCCAGTTACAGCAAGTTTCACAGTTGAGAAAGGATTTCTACACATATCACGTTATGTTATCCCCACAGTAGCTATTAGAAGATAGGCATGGAGTATTATCCTATCTTACTGATGAGGAAGCTGAGTTTCTTTCGCAGCATCAATAAGTGGCAGGGGTTTAAGTGTAACTCCATTTATAGGTATGAATCTATACAGGTTCATACTATATAATGTTTCCTTATAAAAAATGGACATGTTCACCAGGAGACTGCCTTTTCAGAAAACTAATAAACTAAACCCTAGATATATGAGTGTAGCTGTTTCCCAAATTTTTACTCAAAGGCAAAAATTATATACGTAAGCAACAATTTGCACTATAACTGATGTAAAAGTATCAAGGTGTCAATTAATGGAAAAGTAAGTGCAAGCATCAAGCTGGAAATAGCAAAGAATTCACGACAACATGTTCATGGCTGTATTCTCTAGCCCCTAAAATGGAGCGTAGCATATAGTGGTGCTCAATAAATATTTGTAGACTTAATAAATGAATTAATGAAACATGGTAAATAATTGAAAACTATGTAATTATCTTACTAATAACAGGCAGACTTTCCTGAAGCAATTGGGAACTTGGCAACAACCTTGACATCCATGCCAACCATTTTGTCATGGAGTCCTGCAAATGAGCATAATTGAGGTTGTCTGTAGACCATGTCAGTCCCCAGGCCCCTTGAAACTTCATGACTCTCTGAGTTTAAAGAGTAGCAAGGTCTCCCCTACCTTCTTCTGCTATACCATTGACTATTTCACTTACTCCAATTACAAGTAAGTCATGACATAAAAATTAGCCCACATTGACACATTTTAGACATTTTAGCCAAAAGTAAGCTGGGGAAAGAGTTACAACTTGGAGCTAAAGTGAGGCTTGGGGTCTATCTGTGTATTTGATTTGTTCAGCGCCCCTCTGTGCCACTCCAATCAAAATTGAAAGCAGAGTGGGTTTTAAAGACTTAGGACCAGTGAATTATATTTTAATTTGGTTTCTTAGCCTGTGCTATCCCTATGTGAAAAAACACTGCTTAGTCCTGAAGAGCAGTTCCCAGTTCCAGTTGACCTTGTGTGGGTGGGTAGAAAAAGCATAAAGTCAACATGGTGGAATATGAAATCTTGGGCAAGCTACTTAGTCTCTCTGAGCCTCAATTACACCATCTTCATCAACATGGCAGTTATGATTTATTAAATGTTTAATATGTACCAGGGACTTTGCTAAATAGTTTCTAAATAGTACATCATTTTACTTTTAGTCTTCACATAAGCACCAGAATATAAATACTATTATCCCCATTTTACAAATGAGGAAACTGAGGCAGAGAGATACCAATTAAATTGTCCAAGATCAAATAATAGGTGAATAATGGAGAAGGAATTTGGATCCACGCTAAAGACTATCACTTATGCACTGCACTGTGCTGCCTCCCATTAGTAAAAGGAGGTATTTATACTTACCCAAAGGACTGGTGTGAGAATTTAATGAGACGATAAATGAAAAGCATGTTGCCAGTGCCTGCCACACAGTAGGTACTCAATATATGATAGCTATTATTCACATGATGTATCCTTGAGCTGACCCACATCCAATTAGAGAATATGAATAGGAGTGTGGGCTAACCATGCCTACCACCTACCAAAAGCATTTGCTCTGGACTCATTCCCTGGCATTGTACAAGACGCTGAGAGAACTACCTGGTTATAGAAGAAATGGCTATTGTTTACGGGGCACAACTCAGAAAGAAGACAATATACACCGCAATACCCCAGGTTTGGCAATGAACCCAGCCAAACATGCCTATGTGCTGAAGCAAGTATTATAATCACGCAGGAGAAGAAAACGTTACCTTTGTTCATGGGAGCGAGTGAAGTAAATCAATAGAACTGGTGCTCATATAGAAAGCTAGATGGTTGAATTTATGACAGGTGAACCAACCATTATAGTATCATATAGACACTAATAATACAAAAGAATATAAACCATAGCCAACACTCAAGAATTAAGCCAGACAGCAATCATTTCTGCTCTTGCATATGGCACTGAAGTGATTCGTATATTCAGCATCTCACCAGCATAGCATAGTAGTTAAAAGTGTGGGCTTAAAGTCCTGCTCCACCACTTAACTAACTACATAACTATGGCAAGTTCCTTATCTCTGGGTAGCCCAGTTTCCTTAACTAATAAATAATAACAATGGTGTGTTGTGTACCCTATAGGTTGTTAGGATTAAATGAGTTAGCATATGTAAGCATCTAGAAAAATTCATGGCACGTGTAAGAATTATTTGCTATTTTTATTTTCTATTATTATTATAGAGTTAAACTAATATAATATTGGAGGTTCTAGAATAGTGCCTAGAACAAATTTATTATTAAATAATAATGATGATGATGATAATAATTTTGGATTGTAAGCTTATGGAAGGCAGATACACATAGTGTTTCATGTCTAATAAGAGTGTAATACTTTTTGAAAGAATCAGTGAATCATAAATGATAATCAAGGGCACAGAACTGCAAGTTGGGCTCTCCATCCTGAGAGAGCCAAGACCTTCTGCCCTATAATATGTTCCACCACGCCTTTTACCCAGGGAGCACCGGCAATGTCACTGACTGCTATTTCTCCCCATTTCCTTAGCTTGCCAGCATGTTCTTGTCCGAGGATGAAAACTTTCTTCTGCTCTTTCGCCAGGAAACCCCCTTGGACAGCAGTGTGGAGTTTATGCAGGTAAGTGTTTGGTTGTGTCTCTGTGGAGGATGAAGGTTGAGAAGAGTCACCTTCTGTGGCTGCCACCACTTCTGCCCAGTCCCCAAGGGAGAGCTGCCCACAGAGGATGAGACCAAGCAAAGAATCCTTTGGTGATGAGCAGGGACTTTGGCCCCCAGCCCTAGTGTGCTCTCTCAGTGGGCTGACCTAGGCTGCTCCTGAGCTGACAAACTCCTTCAGCCTGGGCAGGGGGAGGGCTTGGACAAAGGGCCAGGCAGATACTATGCTGAGGAATGTAATGGGAGGCTCAGGCACGGGACTGTGGAGACTGGAGGGCACATTTCCCATCTAGAGCCGGTAGCCCTGTGGAGCTCTAGTGAACTGCTGCCTCTTAAGAATACTGTCGACATCTAGACTCCGTGTGAAACTACTTATTTTTAAATATTGGCAACTAATTCTAGTTCTGAAGGCACAGTACAATCAAAACACAACTTATTAGAGTGCTGATCCAGCCAGCAGGCCTTCTGTTTGCAATCATTGCACTTGAGTAAAAGCTAAAGGCAGAATCCTTTTCTCTCTTCTTTCAGCCTCTAGGTGTTAACTGTCTGTTGGTGAAAAAAGGCCAGGGAAGGGCAGAGCAGGGTTTCTCCAAGGCCAGAGTGTCAGATTAAAACAGCTACTGCATCCAGGACATCATTCCTGAAACAGTTATCAAATCCCCATTTAGGAGATAATAACTTAGCACCCTTTTGCATGACTTTATTTACCTTCTGGCCAAGTGGAAGTCATGTAAAATTGAGCAAGCACGTGCATAGTCAATTCACAGAAGAAATGTGAATATATAATAAATATATGCTGGTAACCAAAGAAATGCAAATTAAAAACAACTAATTTTTACCAAAGTGGTAAAGATTTTAAGAGGATCAACAAAAATATGCACTGCTGGCAAGGAAGCACTGAGATTGTCGCTCATGCTCTCTTGGTAGGCATGCACATTGGATAATTTTCTGGAAAACTATTTTGCAAAAATGTAATCAAGATCCTTTAAAATTTCCTTATCAGAAGTTAGTTAAAAAAAATCTTTATCCTTTGCCTTAATAATTCTATTTCTCCAGGCATGTATCTTAAGGATGTAATCAGTGATGTAGACGAGTTTTCTGCACAATGATGTTCATTAAATGTTGCTTATGGTTACTTATAGTTATAATTGAAAATAACAAATTGCTAACAATGAAAGGAAAATTAGGTAAATTATAATACATTCATACGATTCCTTTATTCCACAAATACTTATAAGCACCTGCAACATGCTCATATTCTTCTCGGCACTGGAGGTTCATGAGAGAAAAGCCCCATTGTGGAATATTATGCATCACTAAAGATCAAGTTTTCAAAGAATATCTAATAACATGGAGGAAATGCATTATAATATTAAGCGACAAAATTGTATATGCATTAGGATCTTAATTTTGTTTAAAAAATTATTCATCCTAACACCTGCATAAATAAGACAATAGGTAAATACATACAAGATAAATATTGCTTGTTTTTAAGTGTTAAGATTTCAGATGATTTTCATATTCTTCGTACTTTTGTATTTTCTGATTGTGTGTAGAATCATAATTATTCACAAATAATTTTAAATGACATTTTCAAAATAATTTTAATTGAGTTTAAAAATGCCCACAAAACAATTTTAAATAAAAATAGTAAATAGACCACCCAAGTGAATAGACAATATGACCTCCAATTCAGTTTTGTCATGTTTATAATAGAAACATGATGGAAAGGAAACACAAAGAAATAATAAGCAACTATCTCTGGGGTAGGGATTCCTGGAGATTACAGTTTTCTTCTTTTTGTCTTTCATTAATTTTGTACAATGAATATGATTTACTTTTATAATCAGAAAAAAAGTATTAGAATGTTAGGCCTTGTGTAGCCTTGAATAATCTTGAGAAATGGGAAAAGGAAATGGCATTATGGAGGCTTCCTTTTTTTTTTTTTAACTTATTCCATTTTTTTCTCCTTCCTTTTAGTTTGTCAATTTCTTCCTTAAACAAGAGCTTTCCCTTTCTCCACCCAATTAAGAAAAAATATTACTTTGGATTCTCAAATTCTTTTTTTAAATTAAATTTGTTATAACCTATTACAATCCTATATATTTTAAGAAATTCCAAGTTAATGTCATTACATTCCCTCTGAACCACAGGACCTTACAACGCTTTGATCCTAACATACACCTATCAGCTCACATGCCATTATTGTCCAGGATATTAGTTCCATCTTGTTTTCTTTAGCCCCACAAATTTTATTCAGTCAAGATTTGTTTCAATTTGCCTACACTTCCCATTGTCTTTGTGCACCATTCCTTTTTGTATCTTAGATTTTCCTTCTTTCTGTTCCTCCTCCTTCCTAGAGTACACCCTTTACTAAGAGTCTGCTGGTAATAAACAATTTTTGTTTGCCCGGAAGTCTTTTTATCTTGCTTGTATTCCTTAAAGACAGGCAGGTATAGTATTTACATAAAAATCTTTGGCCCTCCAATGGCTCAGTTGTAGTAAAATTATAAGAAAATTTAGATGGAAAATGTTTGGAGAATAGCATGAAAAAAAGCCTGTAAAAATGTTTTTTATTATTTGAAATTCTCATTCCTAGTTTTGGTACAGTCACACAATAAAAGTTAGAATAGAAATCACATTTAACTAGATGATTTTATAAGTCTGGTTAAATTCAGGCAGGAATGTTGGTGACCAGGACTGAAAGGGGTGAAGCTTCTGAACGCTTCTCACTAAATATCAGCATCAGCATCTCCCACTGTCCCTGCAGGGTGTTCAGGCAGGGCCCTGACTGTGCTCTAGAATTAAGGTCCCTGCAGTTGGTGACTCAGGTAACCCAATCTACATCAAAGGAAAATCTGTCAATTAAAAAAAATGCTTAATACTACTTTTTCATTTTGTATGCAAGTTAGTGAACTTGCTAATTTATGAGGCTTGTGCGTGGAAGAACCAGAGGAGGTCAAAATCTCACTACTTACTAAAGAAAGCAGTTCAGTGTTTCCTTGAAAATGTTCAGCTGTTCTGTCTTCCAGTTTAGTAATTGTGTCTTCAGCTGGATAAATGCTGTCCTCAAACCAATGAAGGGGTTGGCTAATCACCGGGAATTAGAGATGTTCCCTTTACCTAGAACCAAGGCCACACAGGCAGGATTCCTTAGGGGCCTTTTCTGCAGCATAGTCTATTTTGGAGAAGTCCATGCTTTCAATAAGGTGATTGCTATTTGGGGTTTTAGTCTTCTGCAGGTGCCTCAGTTTGACTTCCCACCTTGCCTGGGCCCCAGGGTTTGTCTCCTGTCTACCCTGTGTGCGTTTTCTGAGAAAGCTGCAGCTAAGTTGTCAGAGATTGGCAGATGTACCTGGGACAGACTTTGGTTTCAGTCATACATGACTTCTCTGGGTTTATGCTTTCCTATTAAGTCTGGCCTCTTAGAAGTCCTCTCACCTTCTTGCCAGCAGAGCTGTATATTTAAAGAGTTGTCTTGAGAGTATTCTGCATTTTTAGGAATTTAGTACAGAGAACGTTTCTTAGTTTGCCATATTGTCCCAAATGGAAGTCCATTGCTTCATAGCCTTCCATTTGGAGCTTTCCAAAAGATTCCTTTCAGTGAGTGCACTGTGGTCCTCCTATGCGGCTCCAAGTAAATGTAGTGATTCACTTCTAGTAAGTTCTGCCCAAACAACTGCTGTCACCAAAGAAAGCCTAAAGCTCCCTAGGCAAAGTCTTATTTGCACCCTTTTAAGTACTGTTTTCAGATGCTGAACCATACTAGACAGCAGTGTAAGTCAAGCCAAAATTATTTGGGGATAAATAGATTCATGGCTTTCGTGTATTTCAGATTTGGCGCAAATACGATGCTGATAGCAGTGGCTTTATATCGGCTGCTGAACTTCGTGTAAGTGTTGCTGGGAACTGTCTCTGGGTGAAGGGTGGTTTGTTCATCACTGGGAATTTGATATATGTGTATCATGAGTTTGATTTCTATGTTTCCAAGAAAAATGGATATATATTTGTTACTTTTAAAAAAATACTTATTTGTGTTTAGAGGTTTAGACAGTGCTGGTGACATTGTTCTCTCTGGGAAAGAGACACAATTGAGGAGTTTTGACACTTTTTTCATGCCTAGAGCTATTCTCTGGGTTCCAAGAGCTCCCTTTAAACAGCGCCAGTTCTTTTTTCTTGGATTTATGGCTTGCTAAAGCATTTTATTTCCTTTTTAAAACAAACAAACCACAATCCTTAAAATAAGGCCTCTTGAGATATTTGTGGTTTATTTACTCACTATATAAAATGTAACTCTTCTCTTGGTCTCACAGAACTTTCTCCAAGACCTCTTCCTCCACCACAAAAAGACCATTTCTGAGGCGAAGCTGGACGAATATACTGGCACCATGGTAAGTTGCTGAGCAATGTGATCTCCTTGGGGGCAGCTTTCCCGCTGCCTCCCCAGGGCCCAGAAACAGTGTCTGGCACACAGTAAGTACTCAATAAGTGTTCGCAGACTAAATGAATGCATGAGAAAACCTCATCTCTGGAAAACATCGGCTAAAATGGAGCTGCTTTAGCCTCTCTCTTGGGACGAGACTGCACGTATTTAAGAGAGAAAGCTGTTCAGCTGTCCTTGGGGAGACCTGGAAAGTCCAGTCAACATTAGGTCAATAAGCACCAGGCTAATAACCTCAATGCTAATCAAAGTCACACAGAAGCAAGTCAACAGGGACTTAGACAACCTGGACCAAACATACGGGAGCCACCTCTAGCCATGGAGGGCGATTCTACGCATTTAGTGCGTTGATTTGGAGCAGTTGAGAGTCAGAGAGATGGCAGATGTCCGTCCCACCTCTGCCACTTGTTTGCTATGACTTTGGGAAATTGTCAAGCCTCTCAACGTTATTTATTTTATCCATAAAATGGGGATTAATAGTACTGAGTTACCGTGAAGGCAAAGTGAGCTGATGTATATGAAGCACTTCACAAAGTGTCTAGGACACAATGAGTGCTCAAAACATGTTAGCTGGTATTGTGGTGGTTCCTATGGTCCCTGTTATCATTATTTCCCTTGGCTCTCATGGCATCCTGTCCTAAATGACCCTGAGATTATTTCAGTGTCAAAGCTCCCTGGAAAGTGGTGGAGTAGGAGAAGTTGCCTTTGGGGGACTCATCCTCATAATCTGTTTCAGTACCTAACTTGACGCATTTCTCCCAGTACTAATCAACAATTGGTATTGAACGTGATCTGCCTTCTTTCTCTACCTTTTGTCTCTCCCAAGCCCCTTCCCATCCTTAGATGTGTGCTTCATCCCAATCAAACTCTGTAGGTTTCTTAATTAATAAGCAAAACATATCTGGTAAATGCTTAATTACTTATAGAATTGTTATATATATTATATAAAAAGTTTTTGAGCAGACTTACCTTACTGAACTTTCTGGTGAATAGTTGGGGATACACAGCACCTAAAAGAGTTTGCAGGTTCCTGTTAAAATGTGTACCACTAGGTTGATCTATTTAGGCCTTTAACTGATGTTTTCCAATACTGTATTATTTCTAACAACTTCTCTACAGTGTTGGCGTTGTTCATGCTATTTTATATATCTGATGGTTGAGGCTTAGAAAGGGTAAGTGACTGAGTCATCACCAATTTGAATTCTTAAACTCATTTTAAAGGTCAGATAACTGGGAAAAGTTAAGTTACCAAGCCAAAGGCACCAGTTGAACTAGAAGCTGAATTCTCCTGGTTTTCAGCTCTGGACCCTTCCCGGCTCTCACTCTGTACTCTGACTACTCTGAATGCTGCCCCCTGTCAAGGGCATCTGCCCTGAGAAGGGAGAAAGTGCTCGTGACCATGATAACTTGGAAACGGCCTGGAAAGGAGCCAAGACGATGCCAAGGACAGAATCAAACCCCAGGCCAGGATCTCAATCAAGGAAATAATTTGGCTTCTTACTATGTTGATCTGTTTTAATAGCAGGCAAAATGATGTTTGAAATCCTGAGTAAATATACGCTCAGCACTAAAATGTGAAGTGGGAAATCCCCTTGAAGCAGGAAGCAGTTTCCCAGCTACAGGGAAATCTCTAGGTTCCTTCTGACCTAAGTTCCAGTGAAACTCTGATAGAATCAATAATATGAAAAAGGAAATTAGACTGAAACTGCCTGGGGGAGAGAATAACAAGGAGATTATTCTTCCAGTTGAGCATTTTTTCAACATTGATTTGACATGATGTTAGCACTGGCTGTTGTTATCTAGATTTTATTAACTTATAAAACAAGCACTACACAATGAAATACTTGCATTTAGGAACTCCAGCATGTTTCCAGTATTTCTTTGAATACCTTTGACTCTCAGGGGCTTCCTTCCACCTCCAACTATAATATTAAATCACTATTTCTGACTTCTTAACATAGCTTAGTTATTTTTCCTTACTTTTTTTCTCCTGGTTCTTGCTCATCCTTCAAGATTCAGTTAGACATCAACTTGCTCTGGAAAATTTTCCATAACCTTCTTCCATAGTGAATCCAAGTACCTCTCCTCTGTGCCCCTATAGTTCCTTGTGCATATCACTGTCTTGACATCATAGTCATCAATTTAATTCATTCCACAAATATTCATTAAATACATGCTATGCCCCCGGCACTGTTCTAGTCACTGGGGAGTCAACAGCGAGCAAAACAGACAAAGGAGATACTGACAATGATGATAAACATAATAAATAATAAATTACATTGCATGATAGAGGGTAATGAGTGTCATGGAAAAAATGAAAAAGTAGAACAAGGCAAGGGATGGCAATGCCAGCGGGAGAGCTATGATGGGGTAAAGGGAGAAGGTGTAATTTTCAGCAAGGTGGTCAGGGTAGGCCCTTTGAGAAGGTGAGATCTGAGGAAGGACCAAGGGTGCAGCAAGCACGAAGCCCCTGGGGCAAGGGTGTGCCTGGGATTTTCGAGAACAGGAAGAAACCAGTCTGGCTGGAGCAGAGCAAGCAAGGATGATACTAAAGAGGAACCAGACCCTGTCAGGCTTTTTAGGCTATTGTGAGAACTCGGGGTTTTAGTCTGAGTGAGATGGAGAGCCACTAGAGGGTCTGAAGCAAAGGATGCCACGATCTGGTCGCTGTGTTGATTGAGAAGAGCCTGAAACAGGCAAGGAGGGAATCAAGAAGACCTGCCAAGAGGCCATTGCTGCCATCCAGGGAGAGAGAGTGGCAGCTTGGATCAGAGTGGGGAAGTAGAAGAGATGAGAATATATTTTGGTATAGGAAGATATATTTTGAAGATGGAATCAATAGGATTTCTTTCTTTCTTTCTTTTTTTTTTTTTTTGAGGAAGATTAGCCCTGAGCTAACATCCATGCCAATCCTCCTCTTTTTGCTGAGGAAGATTGGCCCTGGGCCAGCATCTGTGCCCATCTTCCTCTACTTTATATGTGGGATGCCTGCCTGATGAATCAACTGGGAGTCAAAGGCTACACGGACGTTATTTGTTTATGGATCTTGTATTCTACTAGCCTGTGACTCAAAGGACAGGGCAGCATCTTATCACACAGGGCCTGGCACACAGTAGGCCACTTAATGCAAATTGTCTGAAATGAGTTTTCAGTTGTTACCTAACAGCCAGCTAAGAATAAACCATGACAATGAAAGTAAAGTTTGCCTTTGAGACCCTTGCACCTCTCTTGTCTGTGTTCCTTGTGACCCTCCACCTCCATTATGGCTCTTGCTCCCTCTTAGGGTGCCTGGTAGATTGCATATAGCACATTTCAGCATTTTGCACAGACCCAAGTTTCCTCAGCAGTGCTTTGTGTTTTGAAATTCTTTGGTTCCTTTTTTTTTTTAAACCAGACCCTCCAGGGCAGAGCCAGAAATGGGGCCTAGAGAGGCTGAGCTTGACCCTTTATGGCTCTCACTGGGGTCCTTCACCACAGAGAGAGTCAGCCAGAGGGGTCCCCACCAGGCAGTGGGTGTGAGCTGTGCAGAGCCCAGGGGGCAGAGATAGACAAGGAAACTGGAGCCTAAGCTGATGATGAGGGGCAGGAGGAGCAGGAAACCCAGGACCCAGGCCTGGAGTGAGGGCTAGAGCCAGAGGCAGCTGAGGAGACAGAGCAGAGCAAATCCAGAAAGGACAATCAGGGCAGAGCAAGCCTAGGACAAGTCCCTGTGGTTTGGAATTCACATCATTACGTTCCTTTTATTAGGCTGAGTCTGAGGTGCTTTTTCTGCGCCAAGAGGTAGGGTCTCAAAGTGACCTAGAACATCCCCTCCCTCACCAAAACACTCATTCTCCTAATGCTTTTCTCTCAGTTTAAATTATGATCTGGTAAACTAGTTCACATAAATATGTGAGTTCATTCATTCAACTAACATTTAGGGAGAGCCTACCAAGGAAGATATGGTCCCTGACCTTATGGAGGCTCCCAATTGGGGAAAATATGGTAAATGGGGGGAAGAGAGCAAAAATTCACTCTGGTCCCTCCCTTTCATCCCCTCTGTGCATATCACTGCCATAGACCAGTAAGTAGGAGCTGAGTTCAATTTTGCCTTCAGTCCTTACATACAGCAATCTCATCTCAAGATCCAATTGAAGAAATTTTTGAAGTTTTCCTGATTTTTCAAAAATAAGATGGATTATAATGAAGCAGCAACTCTAGAGCTTCAGCAGAGTCAGGACAAGAAAAGGTAGGTGGATAGAGTTCAAGTTAAATTGTTTTAAGATGTCTTCTCAACTGAGTACACATGGTATTTCATTTTCATTGAAACACAGTCAGCATTTATTCTAGTATTGAGTATTTTAATCATAATAACTGATTGTGCACTCTGTGCTGAGCCCTGTGCAAAGCATTTCTCAAACATTTCATTTGATTCTCACAACAAGCTTATGAAATAAATATTTTTAATCCCCATTTTATAAATGAAAAAACTGAGGATTACAGACTTTAACAGGTCAAATATGGTAAGGGTGGAGTAGAAATTCAGACCCAAATCTATCTCCAAAGCCTATATTTTCAACCATAATACTCATGTCTGAAAGTCTAAATGTTACCTTATTAAAAAGGAAACTTTCAAAAGAGAGAGCATAAAGCTCTACTGAGAGATGAAGAAGAGATGACAATCCTCAGGAAGCAAGTGAAGAGCAAGGTGAGGACAATGCCAGGTTAGGAGATTAGGATTCTCTTAATATTTTTAAAGATAATACAGGAGCTCTGACAGCCACACAGAATTGATTACCTAGAAAAACTGATTTTTCTCCTCATGAAGTCCCTATATAATCCTAAGAACTGACAGCTTATTAAACACCAAATAAGAAACAAATAGATGAAGGACAAGGAAAACAAGAAGGGGGTTTCCACAAAATTGTTCTCGAGAAGAGAGGAACATTCATTAAACTCAGGAAGGGAGGAGGTGAAGAAGAGTGAATTGTGGCTGCATAAAGCCCCAGGGATCCCCTCATTCAAACAACCCATCATGAGGGATAGGAACAGGCCTGGGGGAGACACACAGACTGTTGAGAAAGTCAGTACTTGGCTGAAGAGAGAGGGTGCACATCACTCATCAGCCCAGCAGCCTCAGTTGCCCACAGCTCTTCTCTTCACAGCCTTCAGGTTTAAATGTAGGAATCTTCAAGCTGGCGGCTCTTACAATGGAATGCCCTGAGCTGAAGAAAATCTGTCAATATGCAATTTTTGATGGCTTTGCGCTTAGATCCAGAAGCTTAGAGTCCTGTAAAGTAGCTGAGGGGAATCAGAGTGGTCTTACCCAACTTTTGAGTATCTAGGTTGAGAACCATCCATTGACTTACACTGTCCTGTTATTCTGTGTCGGTTTCATCGCTAAAACCTTGTGGCTCTTCTGCTCATGTGTGCTGCAGTTAAGCACTCATTTTTGTCCCAAATTGCCCCATGAAGATAGGTCCATGATCAATCAGACTCCAAGTGGCACCTCACTGGTTCTTTATGCACTGAGGTGATAGGTAAGTGTTGAGGAATCTGGTGAAAGGGTTTCCACCCAAAGATCTGAGTTTGACCACAAGACTAGATGAGTTTAATAAGATTTTGGCCAATCTATTTCTTTTTCTTCCTTAAATTATAGAGGCAACTTATACTTTTCCAATGAATAGATTTGGGAACTGGACTATAGTGTGTGTGTGTTTATTTAAGACTTTTTATATTTCCCTAGAGACCTTCTAGGACTTGAGCTCTAACTAAGTGATACACCAAGTGTGAAATTCCCTTACTGCTGCTTTAATGGCTTTTTATTGAGGAACGGACATAGTCATAGCAACATCGCATTAAAGATTTGGTTCCGAGGTTTAGCATCAAATGCTTTACTTAAGAGATGTAACCTACTAAATGAATTCAAATTGACCCAAATAAGGATTGGCACATTTGGAAGCTGTCTGAAGCATGAACAATGAATGAGTCAAGGCAGCAGATTCAATCGGAAAAGAAAAGTTGAGGTCTGCAGACCTTGTCTTATTCTAACTCCTAATTAATGTTCTGGACAAGGAAGGAAATAGCTTGTTAACAAAATCCAACTGTGACATCTAATTGAGAGGTGCTACCAACACCCAGCAGGGGGAAAGATTAGCTATCTGAATAGAATATTATTAGATAATATTTAGCTTTTTAAAATGTAAGCTAATAGATATGGGAGATATTAAGTTCATGTACCTAATTAGAGTGTGGAACTTGAACTATTGTAAAACAACAAATTAAAATCTGAGGCTATGGCAGACAAGGAGACTTATATGAGGTTAAGCTTGTCCTCACCCTTTACCCTGGTCCTGGGTCTCATCCGTCAGGCCTGGATTAAAGTATCCAGGTTCCTAACCGCTTCCTTCTCTAGGTCTAGGTGTTCACCTCTCTGATCTAGGCCAACTTGAGCCCATGTCTGGATTGTGTGGAGATCTCTTCTTTTCTATGTCTACCCTCACTCTACTGGAGATCTCAACTAGTCCTATGGTTTTCAACACCAGCTAAAGATGACAATCCCCAATATATATCTCTGAGTCAGGCCACTTCTCTGAGCTTCTTGGATATACTTGGATGTATATCTGCACTTGGATGCCCCATATGCCTCTCAAACTTAGCATGTCCAAAATTAAATGAAATAACATATAAAGTATTAGTCACTCTACAAATGGTCACAATTATATTTTAAAAAATTAAGAAGCCATTATGTCCAAAACAAATATGCCAAACATTCAAAATTCACCAAAGGTTATATTTTTGAAGACAGACATGTTTATAATCAACCTTCTCAGTCACTGAGACCATGAACTATTAGCAGCCTACTCTTCCCTCTCATTTATATACTGGTCATTTTCAGAGGCTTCTTCTTTTTCATAATCAAATTTTGGGAGGGAAAAACCCTGGTAAATTCATATAATTGGATTAGTGACCAGCTATTAATTTACTGTTTCAAAATGGCTTTTGGTGGAAGATACTCTTGTGCGGGTTGCAGTGAACTTGCATAAGATGCTGTGTTGTGGTGTGTGGGTGTTACCTAACTGGGTGTTCTGAATACCACTGTTTAGTAGCCAAACAGCATCCCTTGAGAAGATGCTGACCATCAGCTACTCAGCGGAGAAGTGCAAGGGCAGATGCCACCGAGATCCCTGGACCCCCAAGAACCCAGTTCTCCCATCAGCCACACTGGAACCTGCTCTGAAGGACTCTGTTTGCTGACTTTACCAGGAAAAGGGCTCAGCATCACTCTTATTCCCTTTCAACCACTTTGACAAGTCATGAAGTCACTGTTTAACTTTCAACCAAGATGCGATCTAGGGCCTCATTTAGTCAGTGGTTATCAAATCGTAGGGTTCCAAGAAACCCTTGGGTTCAGAGGCAATACTTCAGGAGTCAGAGGGAGCCTAGAGGATTAGGCTCCAGCCCATTCCCACCCGCTACTGGTGTAGCTCCATTTCTTTGTTTTATATATTCAAGCACCACACAAAATTTCATTTGAAAGTAGGGTTCTTCTGATAAGGAAGGTTTTAAATCATGGACATAATATAGCTGAAAAAGCTGCACCCAAAGGGATAATATGACTTACCTAATGCCAAACAATGTCTGATTTCTGGTCTAGTGCAATAGGCATGTCCCAAGCTTCCTTCATTATGCATATTTCTTATAGTCACAGAGGTCCTAGTAAACTTGAATAGCAGATACAAGGGAATGTGTGTATTATTCACCCACGTGTACACACACAGGGGTGGGAAAATTAAGCAAGTAATTTTTTTTTCTGATTCTGATTCTTAAGTGAACCCCATAGCCCATTTGCTAATGGGTAGAAGAATAATTTACCACGCTGATGTTCAGTTCTTCCCCAAGATAATTTTCAGCGAGGGCTTTTTTCCCCTTTGATTAAGGTTGCACAGCAATGGAGATGGGTCTTTCAAATGGAGTTACTACTTGCTTAAAGCTCAAGATAATCTAGCTCTCTATTAAGACAGAACCTCTTATCATGAATCAGAATAATTTAAATAGCCTCTTTGAGTAATGCTAAGTATCTCTAAAAAGGAAAAGCTTAGCCTCTTAGATTTCTCAGTCATCTTCATTCAACCAAAACTCTTCTACAAAAATGACATCAAGGTGGGTAAGGACAGGAAAGTGGCCTATAGGACCTCATGGTGGAGGGGAGGAGTCGAGGTCCTTGGGCACAATGCTCTGACTGGTCTCCAGGGTGATGCCTCTTGACCACTCAGTTGCTGCTACCTTATTGGTATTCATGGTTGAGGTCTGTGATGAACTCAGAATCCATACTCTTAGCTTTTGCCAGTCCATCAGGAAGTATAGACTAATCCAGCAGCCATCCTTTAACTCTTGCTTGAAGCAGACCACAAATTCTCTGCTACATCCTCCTTCCAGTTTGCTGGCTCAGTGATCCACCCCTACCCTCTGTTCCAGCATCATCACATGCTGTCACAGCTAGCCCCATGGGAGGTTCATTGGCCACTGACTCAGCATCCAAACCCTTGGGTGCTCAGAGTGTCCTGGGAAAGCTAACCCACAGCAACTCTCTCCGCTCGGTGTTGTCCTTCCTGAACTAATGCTCTTCTCCCTCTGAGATCCCCTTTCCAGCAGAGTTAGGTCACTCTTTCTGCCTACTTTACTCTTCTATCTCTATCTTTCCTTCTTTTTCTTCCTACAATTCTCTGAGGCCTAGAGAGGACTGGCTTTCCCCTATGATATCTACTTTACTACTTTTGCCTTCACGGAAAGATGATATTTCTTCTATCCTCCAGAGGGAGTAGTCTATGAGTCATCCTTAGCCTATTTAGACAGACGTGTAACCAGAAGGGCAAAAGAGAAATGTGCTTTAATAACTTTCAAAATGAATTCCTGTTACAAGTATTTCTTACAATCATTTCTCTTTCTGCATTTCAGATGAAGATCTTTGACAAAAATAAAGATGGCCGGTTGGATCTTAATGACTTGGCCAGGTAAGCAGCCTGGAAATGGTGTCATAGATTCAGAAACACCTTCCTAGGGGTTTGATGACAGCACACACTTCTTTTTGAAAGGCAGAGATCCAGTCTCACCTGAAAGCCTGAAGGATAGGCATATCTTAGAGATAAACTGCAGTGCTTTTGAATCTTTTGAGGTAACAGATCACTTTGTGAAGATAATGAAAGCTCTTCCCCCCAAAATGTGCAGTGCACAAAACTTTCATAAAATTTTATAGATGGGTCATGGGCCAGCCTTGCCCTCAACGTCCAGACATTCATACACTCACACAAGGACCCTATGACAGAAAAAGTCCCAAATCCCATTGACTGGCTCTGAGAATGCTAAGCAGTTAGTCCAGGACAGAGGACAACTGAGCCTGACTCCTGCTGCCCTCTCTGGTCTTTTGAGTGTTGGTGTATCCTCCATGGGGCACCAAGCACCCAAAGGCTAGAAGTGGAGGAGAAGATGACAGCAGAAGTGGCCCAGGATCCGCAAAAATGCTGTCTGTGAGTCTGGTGTTATGACACATGATGGGCATGTCAGCATGTTTTATCAAGGCTAGCTGACCCCCAAACAACCTTTGCTTGTCCATATAAAGAAAAAAGAGATTTTGAACAGATGGACAGAGTTGAAATCATTGGATCCAGAATGCAGGGATATAACCCTTATGGGGGAGCAGCTATAATACTAGCCACCTCAGGATCAGGCTGGGTGGCAATTGTAGACTGGACAGTGATAGAAAGGGGACAGTTACAGGCTGAAGGGCAGAAGCAGGTATAGCTGGGAGTCAGGAAGCCCAAGGACTGAGGATGAATTTTCAATAACAGGGAGTTAACTTGGCAATGTCACAAGCAGATGTTAAGTTTTGTCTTTTAGCAGATATTAACCTGAGTTCAGAATCACCAAATCCTGTACCAGCCACCTCCTCTCTTGACAGCTACCTCTGCCAGTTCTTGAAGGCGATCTGCAAAAGGGGACACACCATGAAGAATCTCTCCTCATTAGTGACCAGGACATTGACTCCAACACTCTACATAGTCTCCTATTCTAGGCCTCATAGGAACTGTGAGGCAGCCTGTGTGTTGTCCTTGGCTATTTTCTCCAGGGTCTTTATCCTAATTTTGGCCATTTTGATAGAGAAGAGGCACTGAGAGACCAGCCAGACTAGAGGGGGACAAGAGTGTTTCTCCCAAAGGCTTAGGACAGAAGGGATCTCAGCCCTGCAGTCTTGCCTCCATCCTCTGGGTCCCACTCACAGTTGTCACAGTTGGTTTAGCCAATCAAGACAAGTGTTCCTCTCAAGTGGAGGTGAGTTCTAGCTACTCAGAGAGCTGTGTGAGAGAGCCATTCTTAACAAGAAGACCCGAAGCACCTAAAAGATTTACTCAAAAGATGGCAATCTGGATGAAAAGAAGAGTTTTTAATCTCATTGCTGCACCCACACACCTGGTACCCTGACTCAGTTTTGTACTCCTCAGAGGTATTGAGAGTCAAGGAGTGTTGAGCGCCCTCTGGAGGCTGGAGTGTGCCACTATCAGTAAGTTGCTTTCTACTGTATCAGTCCCAACACTCTGTTTACTCCTGAAATAAAACCCATAGACAATATAACCTACCTATATACATAATTAGTAAATTACATACATCTTGAAAAAAATTCCTTGGATTTTTATGTAAATAGGAATTCAATTCTAAGCTGAAATAATCATAAGCAGGGTTTTTACATACATGAATGATCCACTGGACATTTGGAAAGTCAGATAAGACATGGGATTATTCTTTGTTCTGTGGAAATTTGCATGCAATGCAGGACATCTAGCATCTCTGGCCCCCATCTACAAAATGCCAGTCATATCCCCTCTATCACTGTGATAACCAAAAAGCCCCTCTGCAGATATCCAAACACTCCCTACTGTGGTCCTACCTATATGCCTTAATCGCTGGAATAACTTCTCAAGCAGTGGAGTGTTATATACATGGGAGGATTCAGTGAAGAGTTGTGGACTAAAGAAGGAGTTCAAGTAGCACTGAACAGAGATGCAAAGCAGCAAAACAGTTACTACATTATTTCAAAACCAATTTGATATGGAATATGAAAATGACGACTGGAGAGCCAGCCCTGACGGCCTAGTGGTTAAAGTTCCGTGTGCTCTGCTTCTGCAGCCCGGGTTCAGAAGCACACCACTTGTCTGTCAGTAGCCATGCTGTGGCAGCAGCTCACACAGAAGAACTAGAAGGACCTACAACTAGAATATACAACTATGTACTGCGGCTTTGGAGAGGAAAAAAAATAGGGAAAGGAAGATTGGCAACAGATTAGTTAGCTTAGGGTGAATCTTTCCCAGACAAAAAAAAAAAGAAAAAAATTACAAAACAAAAGGCAACTGGAGTAGGCAGAATAAAGATATCCATGTCCTAATTCCCAGAACCAGTGAATATTTTATTTACATGGCAAAGATGAATCAAGGTTGCAGATAGAATGAAGGTTGCTAATTAACAGACCTTAACATAAAGAGATTATTCTGGATAGGTCCAGGTAGGTCCAATGTAATAAGAAGGGTCCTTTAAATGTAGAAGAAGGAGGCAGAAGATCAGAGTCACAAAGAGATCTGAAGATGTGACATTGCTGGCTTTGAAGTGGAGGAAGGGGCCATGAGCCAAAGAAAGCAGGCAAGGAAAAGGCAAGGAAACTGATTCTCTCCTAGAGCCTCCAGAAGGAATGCAGCCCTATCAACACCTTGATGTTAGCCCAGTGAGATCCATTTCAGATTTCTAACTTCCAGTACTGTAAGATATTAATTTATGTTATTTTAAGCCACTAAGTATGTGGTAATTTGTTACAGCAGCAATAGGACACTAACACAATGACAAAAAGGCCTTAAAACATTTATAATGGGAATCTTCTTTCTCTGCTCCTGGCTGTGAAACGCAGCCCTATTACTCCACATACAAGCACCTGTCAAGTACACGTCCTCTGACTGGCAATGTGGTTAGACTGCTTGGTGCCAACAACTAGATAAGGACAGTATCCCAGGATGTTCTACCCTCTACTTGGCCCAGATTAATTCTCTCTACCCTGGGCATCCAGAAGAGCAAAATTTTCCAAATTGTTGTATGATACTTTTTTCTACCTTTCTCTCTGTCTATCCATGATTATGGATAAAACATGAACCCAATGATTTGGTCTTTTGAAACTGACTGTATTCCACTGAAGTACAATTATAATTATACAGAAAAGAGGAATACATTTGCTTTCCAAAACAAAAACAAGATCAAATTTTTTAAGTATAATTTATATACCAAAAATTTACCCATTTAAAGTGTACAATTCAGTATATTTTAGTATATTCATAAGGTTGTTCAACCATTACCACTACTTAATTCCAGAACATTTTCATTGTTCCAGAAAGATACCCCATACCCATTAGGAATCACTCTCTCCTCTCCTCTCTTGCCAGCCCCCGGCAACCACTAATCATCTACTTTCTGTTTCTATAGATTTGCCTATTCTGGGCATTTCATATACCTGGAATAGTATACTATGTGGCCTTTTGTGTCTGCTTATTTCACTTAGCACAATGTTTTCAAGGTTTATCCATGTTTTATTATGTATCTATACTTCATTCCTTTTTATAGCTGAACAATATTTCATTTATGTAGATATTACATTTTGTTAATCCATTCATCAGTTGATGATCACTTGGGTTGTTTTTACTTTTTAGCTATTACAAATAATGCTGCTATGGACATCTCCATACGTGTTTTTGTGAGAACATATATATTCGATTCTCTTGGTATTATATACTTAGAAGAGGAATTTTTGTTTCATATGGTAATTCTACGCTTAATTTTCTGAGGACCTGCTAAACTCTTTTCCAAAGTAGCTGCATCATTTTACGTTCCCACTAACGTCTGAGAACTTCAATGTCTCTACATCCTAACCAGCACTTATTATTGTTGGCATCATTTTGATTTTACACATCCTAGAAGGCATGTGCCTCACTGTGGTTTTGATTGGCATTTCCCTAATAACTAATAGTTTTGAGCATATTTTCATGTGCTTATTGGGCATTTGTATATCTTTTTTGAAGAAATGTCTATTCCGATCCTTTGCCTATTTTAAAATTAGGTTAATTGCCCTTTTATTGTTATCTAGCATTTTTATATATGCTAGATATTAGACCCTCATCAGATATATGATTAACAAACATTTTCCTCCCATTTTGTAGGTAGCCGTTTTCCCCCCATTTTGTAGGTAGTCTTTTTACTTTTTTGATTGTGTCCTTTGAAGCACAAAACTTTTTGATTTTGATGAACTTCATTTTATCTCATTTTGTTTTGGTTGCTTGTGTTTTAGGTGTCACATTTAGGAAACCACTGCCAAAATCGAAGCTAACGAAGATTTACCCTTACATTTCCTTCTAAGAGTTTTATAGTTTCAGTTTTTATTTTTAGGTCTTTGATACATTTTGTGTTTATTTTTATATATGGTGTGAGGTAGGAGTCAAATTTCATTCCTCTGTATGTGAACATCCACTTGTCCCAACACCATTTCTTGAAAAGACTATTCTTTCTCCATTAAATGCTCTTGGCACCCTTGTTGAAAATCAATTGACCATAAATGTATGGGTTTATCTCTAGACTGGCAATTCTATTCCATTAATCTACATATCTATCCTTATGACAGTACCACATCATAACTTGTACAATCTACCTTGTCTTAATTACTGTAGCTTTGCAGTAAGTCTTTAAATCAGGAATGATTTCAATAATTTGTTCTTCTTTTTCAATACAGTTATAGCTATTCTGAGTTCCTTGCATTTCCACATGAATTTTAGGATCAGCTTATCAATTTCTGCAAAAAAGGCAACTGGGATTTTGATAGGGATTCTATTGAATCTATAGATCAATCTGAGAAGTACTGACATCTTAACAATATTGAGTTTTCTATTCTATTCGATATTTATGAACACGGGATGTCTTTGAATTTATGTAGGTCTTCTTTGATTTCTTTCAACATTGTTTTGTAGTTTTCAGTCTACAAGTCTTACATCTCTTTTGTCATATTTATTCCTAGGTATTTTATTCTTTTTGATGCTATTGTAAATGAAATGGTATTCTTAATTTCTTTTTTGAATTGGTCATTCTAATGTATAGAAATACAATTGAATTTTTCATATTGATCTTGTATCCTGCAACCTTGTTGGATTCATTTATTAGCTCTAATAGTATTTTTTTAATATTTCTTTTATTTTTTATTGTGAAATTTTTGTTGTACATTATTGTTTGTCAGTCACCATATAAGTGCATCCGTCCACCCTTTGTGTCCACCCCCCATCCCCCCAGCCCCTCGTAACCACCAAGCAGTTCTATCTGTCCATGTGTTGGTTTATCTTCCACATATGAGTGAAATCACGCACTGTTTGTCTTTCTCTCTCTGGCTTATTTCACTGAACATAATACCCTCCAGGTCCATCCATGTTGTTGTAAATGGGATGATTTTGTCTTTTTTTATGGCTGTAGCTCTAATAGTTTTTTGATGTATTCCTCAGGTTTTATTTTCTTTTTTAATTGAAATATAATTGACATAACATTATATTAGTTTCAGGTGAACAACATAGTGATTCAATATACGTATATATTGTAATATTTTCTGTATACAAGATTATGTCACCTACAAATAGAGGTTGTTTTACTTCTTTCTTTCTGTTCTGCCAATCTCTGCTTTTAATGGAGTGTTTAATCCACATATATTTAATATAATTACTGAAGGTAGGATTTATGTCTGCCATTTTGCTCTTTCTCCTCTCCATGTCTTATGTCTTTCTGTTCCTCTATTCTTCCATTACTACCTCCTTTATGTTAAATAGATATTGTCCAGTGTACTATTTTAATTCCTTTCTTATTTCTTTTACGTATTTTTTAAGTTATTAATTTAGTGGTTGACTGAGGGATTACAATGAACACCTTAGCTTATAACAATCTAATTTGGATTAATGCCAACTTAATTTCAATATTATACCAAAACTTTGCTTCTACAGTTATAATCCCTCCTCTCTCCTTTGTGCTGTTATTGTTACACAAATTACATCAACACAGATTTTTAATTATTGCTTTGTGCAATTGTTTTTTTAAGTCAGCAGAAAAAGCTACAGATAAAAGACACATTTATATTGTCTTTCATATTTACATATGTAGCTACCTCTACCAGTGTTCTTTATTTCTTCATGTGGATTCAAGCTACTGTCTAGTGTCTTTTCAATTCAGCCTGAAGAACTACCTTAGTTATCTTTATAGGTCACATTTGCTGTTATTAGTAAATTTTTTTTTAGTGACTTTTCTGAACCAATTCTGTGAAGTCTGTATCTTTGTCATGTGTGCACACTAAAGTCTCTGCTTGGTTAGCTTAATAGTTAGTTAGTGATTGAACAGAGATTTTCTTAAATGCCTGGAATCAATAAGTCTCCCAGGATTTGCTGAGGGGCTTTCTGTACGTGTTGGGGCATACCTTCAACGTTCAACCAGGCAGTTTGCAACTCTGCCTTAGCCTTCAGTTCCTGCTTGCACTGATCATGAAGATAAGCCAGAGGTGAAAGCTTAGAGCCTTCTCAGGTCTTTCCTGAGCATGCACACAGCCCTGGACATGGATGTAGCCCTATGCATGTGTGTGGCTTTCTAGATTCCCAGAAATACGCTGGCACTTATAAAAGCCCCTATCGACATCTTATTCCCCAGCTTTTCCTTTTAAGCTTTTTGGTTAGCTTATTATTTACCCGAACTCTTATCTACCACTTTGGTCAGCTGTGATCTTAAACAGTTGGCTCTAGCTGTTTTTGACAAATGGTTTTTCCACTGGGTGAGTTCAAAATCAGGTCAAATAAAGACATCCTTGCAAGTGGAGTCTTCTAGGGAACCAGCAAAGAGGTCAAATACGGGCCTTTCTCTGGGAATTTTGAGAGCTTTGAGGGAGCTTTGAAAGAGCTCCTATGCTGTTCTGCTTTACAGTAGCTGTTAGGCTACTGGTTTTCCCTGGGATTGTGGGCTCTTGGTTTTCAAGGATAACATGGGGATGGGGAGGGTGGACTGATGGAGCAAGTTAAAATGCCATGAAGTCCACTATTCTTACCAAGATTTAGTCATTTTCCAAAATATACACTGCCCAGACTTCTGTAAGCCTTTGGTTAATTTCCAGAGTTCTGAAAAACATTATTTTGACCATTTTTTGGCCAATTTTCTTATTGCTTTCATAGAGGAGAGCATTTTCATAAGCTCTTACTGTGTTATTTTCCACCAGGATGAATTTTTTGAAGTCTCTCTATGGTGACTACTAATCCCTATGAAAGTCTTTCCCAATTAATTTCTCAATTTGTTTTTATAATGTATAAATTTCTATTTTTCAAGCACTTATCCTATTCTGCAGAATAATTTGGAAATTGCCTGCCCTTTTCTCACACCAGATTTATGAATTGGCTTGTAATCAAGCTGACAGATCATCATGTGGATTAGTTTTTTTTTTTTTTCCACTTAGGATTCTGGCTCTTCAGGAAAATTTCCTTCTTCAATTTAAAATGGATGTAAGTAGTGACATTTCTCTGATGGGTTTATGTCATTCATGTTTCTCTATAAATTTGAGAGGGAGGGAAGAAAAAAAGGCACCTACTTGTCTGGCCTTTAACTTATCTAGAGACTGACAAGGCTCAGTGTTGGAATCAAGGGATTAAGAGTCATTGACTCAAAATTTATAAAAGTTGTCTAAGGCCCTGGAAGAATTGTACAACTAAAGTTTCACACTGATAGACTGACATACTGTTTTCTCCATACACAGGCTTGTTCTGCTGAAGAAAGAAAGAGGGACTTTGAGAAAATCTTTGCTCACTACGATGTTGTAAGTGTGCCTCTTTGTCGTGTTGGTTATCTTTAGGTAGGAAGCTTGTTAAGCCTCTATGTGGGATCATCCTACCCAAAGATCCTAAACTTATATGGTGAATAGCAATCCCACATGTGTGTTGCTAGGTCAAAGTACTCTCAATTTCTCTATGTAACTTTGAGAACTAAGTAAAAATGGAAAAAGCAGTATTTATGGTTGAGAAGAGAATAAAATCACAGTGGTTTTTTTTTTGCTTCTTGGATCAAAACTAAGAGAAAGTTTCTCCTTCTTGGTCTCTAACTATAATAGTATGCTCAAAAAACAAAAGCAAACAATCAAATAAAAAAATGCATCCAACCTAAATAGGGGCATGGTGAGACCTATTTGGTATAAAAACTACTTCTCTTGTAGGACTAATTATTTGGTCCTTCTTTAGAGGATAAAAAACAATAATTCTAAAGAACAAAGTATGGCAAAGAGATTGAATTTCTTGAGGACAAGGTAAGATAATGTAAGAAGGAAGAAAAACAAGGAGAAAGTTTGGAAAGGTCATAAGCATCCTGAAACTAACCAGACTGGATATCTGTGTGTCATATGCCGAGCAGAAAAAACAATCACTTGGAAGAGGCAGCATAGCAAAGTGTTTAACTGTGTGGCCTTTGTGACCAATTACCCGGGTTTGAATCATGGTTTATTAGACATGTGACCTTGCGCAAATTCCTTAACCTCTCTGTACCTTGTTTTCTTTATCTGTAAAATTGGGGTGGTGAGGATAATAGTAATACCTACCTCCTCGGGTTGTTACGAGAATTAAATGAACTCATGTTTGTAAAGCTCTTAAAGACTTCCTGGCATGTAGCAAGTACTATATTAGTGTTTGGCAAATACACTAAGGGAATGGATTTTTAAAATGATGTGTTAAAGTTTCAGGATTAAGAAACCTTCAAGAGAATGGATGGGTTGTCGTAACTAGAACTTCAGAGAAGGAGCTAAGATATTTTAATATGTCTTGCATTTTATAGGCATTCTTATAAAATGGGTAGAAAAAAGGTTTTATGTATAGACCATATAATAATTCTAATATGCTCACTTAATCTAGTCTCTCTTAATTTAAAATATATATTTTAATAATCATCAAGTCATCGCTAAGTCATAAAGGAAAATCAAAAAATGTCAACCTATCCTTCAAAGGGTCGATATGATGTGCAATTAATACTTGTTTGAACCGAAACCTGGTATTTGGGAAGCAAATAAAGTCGGTATACGTTAAGTTAATGCAATTTGTAGGAGCCAAGGAACGCAAAACTACTGCTTCCCATTTGACAACATGGGGGGAGTTATTTACAATGAATTCGTTTAATTTATGTGGAACATCCACATCCTGCACAGAGAATGTAAGTTGGAACAAGTCATTTCTGAACCTGTTTGCAGTCACAAAAGAATGCTGATTTGGTTTATTTGCCTAATTTATTCTTTAGACTTTTGACTTAAGAAAATGATATTTGGTTGATTGAATCTTTTATCTTTCAGAGTAAAACTGGAGCCCTAGAAGGCCCAGAAGTGGATGGGTTTGTCAAAGACATGATGGAGCTTGTCCAGGTGACTTCACGAGGCTGTATATATTATTTCCATCATGGATCGGGGCTGCCATTTTGATTGATTCCATCGTTTACTTTTGGGAATCAGTAGGGCTGAGGATTAACACTGGAGAGAAAATCTAGGGATGTAGTCTACTTACCAAACTTTGAACTTCTGTGAACCCAATACATGTCCCTTTCTCTCTTAAGAGCATTTGTAGTTTCAGTTAACTGAAGCCCCCATAGGAGCTTCTTGTTACCAGCATTTAAAAGTCGTCTATGTTACCAAAGAAACACAGTGCCACTGTGTACCTTCCTGCTTTATTTTTTGATTACGGAAAGCCCTTCTCCCCTGGACTTGCTTGTTAGAGTAACTAAAATTTTTAATTTAATTTCATGTAATAAATCCCATATATGGGATACTAATTTTATTTACCAAGGGGCTGCTTTCACACCTAGCCTAAGATGGCTATTTTATCTATCAAAGCATTGCTGTGGTTGGGACTGATGCAATTTAGATTATATCTACATCACAGAACAGTTTTATGTAGGGTAAACAATGTTTAAAAAAGCAATCTCCTTCGAGATCCTGATGAACTGTATCGACTGGCTGCATGATCCAGTTAAACAATACTTTCCAATTCCTCTCTAGGAGTTTTTCTCTGCAACTGTGTAGACATTGAATTTAGTAATCTCATGTCCTTAGGGACTTTTTGAGGTTTGTACAGGACATGATGATTGTGTCCTGATTGGCCCAGATGGCAAGAAATCAGAGTAGTAATTATTAACTGTTTTTGGAGTCCCAGACCTTGATGAAAATCTGATTAAAACCAAGGAGTTTTGCAGCAGAAAAATGCCCAGATATCGATTTTTGCATGAATCTCCAGGAATTTCACATACGCAAATGAGCAGGCGTGGATGAGATTTTTTTCTGATGTCTAATCAGCATGACATGTCTAATCAGACAGCAAAGAGTCTTTGACTCTTAACTCTTGTTATTCCCATCCCAACTGGTCCCTTGCCTCTTCTTTGTCCCCTTCACATGTTGCTCCTGTTGGAGATTTCACAAACATCTTCACAGTCAGAATAGCTGATGGGTTTTGATGCGGTATTGCCTTTTACATTGATTGCTAAGGGAAATCCCGTTTTCCTCACTACCTATTTAATGCCAGAATGACTTCTGTAATAGAAAGTGAGCAGTTATCTATATAGGACATTAAAGCTGCACAGCAGAAGGCCTTGTCAAATTGAGTTTTAATTTGCTTTAGATAGAATAAATGGGATGGTGAGCCTGCTTTTCAGAGCTGCGTGGCTGCTTCTGTGCAGTGGAGCTGGGGCTGTTGATTGCTTGAGTGCAAAGCCCGGGGCTTCAGATCCGTACAGACCCTTTCAATTGCCTTTCACTGTCGCTGAGTTTGGCACTGGCTTCTAAATGTTAATGGGAGATGATGGAAGTAAAACCTAAATCAGCAACAGAGTAGAGAAGACATTTTTCCAGAGAAAATTAAAGAGAAGGGAAAAATTCTACACCATCCAAAAACATGAGTTGGGAGGAGGAGTCTGCCTCATTCTTTGACAGATTCACACACCTCCCTGGGAAACCAGAGGATCCCCCCCACTTTTGTCCTTGCCCCTCTATTTCTGTGGGGCTGCTGGGGCAAAAAAAGGCACCTCTTGATATAAGGACCAGACAATTTGAGAAGCTGGTTCTAAGGACTGAGTCAGACTGTGGCCAGTAATACAAAAATAGTTTATAGGGGGCTGATTTGTTGAGTTAAAAAGTAGGTACACAGTAGCTAATTATTAGTGTTCTCCTGTAAAGCCAAATAATTGCAGGTGCATACCTTCACTGGATCTTTCCTAGTCTTCCAGTTTGTTTAAGAAAATAGTCACCAGGGCCGGCCCTGTGGCTTGGTGGTTAAGTGCGCGCGCTGCAATGCTGGTGGCCCGGGTTCGGATCCCAGGTGCGCATCGAGGCACCACTTCTCCGTCCATCCTGAGGCCGAGTCCC